CGAACAATCTATTGGCGGGATAGAAGAACGGAAACCATACTGCAGCAGTAGAAGACACAACAACAAGTGACAGCAAAGCGAATTTTAAAAGCCTGAAGGTGCAGATAATAAAACAAAGCATAATCAAGACAAACAAAAGCACTAACCCAACTTGAAGGGGCCTGTGGACACACCGGCTAAACAAATAAACGAATATAGGTATGGCGTGATACAGTTCCATCTGCTTATAGCTGAGAGCCATCGTGAAAAGAAAAGCAGCAATGCATTCTCGACCACGCAGCAGACCACATATTGACCAAAGGAACAGACCCAAACTTACACAGTTGTATCTGAAATAGCAAAAGTGTCAAATATTTATCTAAACAACACGTAAGCATCAGCAAGGTTCAAAATATCGTAGTTTTACCGTGTCAAGCAGTAATCTTTATGCTACCAGCTTGAATCAACTACAAAATGGGCGGTTTAAAGGGATCGCCGATCTCCTGGAAGCTTCATCAGTCAGATGGAAGGAATGAGAAGGACGTAGTTTATAAGTTCAAATGCAAAACTACGACAAAATCTTCATCGGGAAAATCATATGAAGATTGGACATAAGGTTGCAGAACGTCTAGCAGCTCTGAGGGATAAAAAACAGAGTATTCTGGCATTGTTCACACGCTTTCTACATAGGATATTATTTTAGTCTAACGAATGTCATTTCCGTTGATAAGGAGGGAGGAAATGCCGAACAATTAAATTGCTGCGCCTGTTGGCTAACAAAAACGGAAATGTTACTGTCAGTCAAAATTCCACATGTATTTTCATAATACCTGCTGTTTTTATTTGCGTACTATAGCTCTGATGGTAAGGCAGATGCGCAGAGTCGAAGCGCGTTTTCAAAAAAGAGTTTACATCATCCATTTCAACTGCTGCCTTGAACCATGAATCTGGAAGTGAGAAGTATTAACTGCTAATCACGCAGGTAATGAAGCGATACTTCCTTCCTTTACTATTTGCCTCCACAGATAGTTTTTGACATTTTCATATAAAAGTTGGACATCTAAAGGCAGCTTTAAGAGCATAAACACTGCTGAGATAACTGATGCCGCAATAATTGTTTCACGTACTTTTTTTACTTCCATGCTAAATTTCTGTTTTCATAAGTTTTATTTACTATTAATCTGTACCATCTGTGTTGTGACGAGGATGCTATTCTGACATACAGAGCTACCCTGTTTACGATAATTCTGCCACAGTGCTGTTTAATAGTTACTTTCATCGTTTGCCTCTTGATATACTCTTTAATACTGCTTCGTGTCTCTGTCGAAAAATCGCTTCCTTCCATTTAAAGTTGCACAACAGAAATTAAACAATGAACTATCTTATTCTGATATGGGGAATATTCTGGGCGAAAACTCGTTCGACCGTTTTAATTGTTTGTGCAGAGTTTTATTACATTTTTTATGTGTAGTTTGCAAAAACATGCGGATGCGAAACTTACTGAAAATGTCCATGGTCAATCCAAATCATGCCTGGATACAGCAACCAAACCGCAATACTTTTCAACTAAAAGAATACCGTATCTAAACTGCAGAACAGTATCAAATATTAGCAGCTACCTTTTCAAAGTCATTATTCAACCTTGACGAAAGCAAATGCACAACGGTGCACACGGCCGGAATGAAAATCAGCACATCAGATGCCAGAACAGTATAACGCATGAACAGTTTATGCTCATAGCTTTCGATTCCCCTCGACTGT